AAAAAAATCTGAGTGCTGCCATGTATGTATCTGTCTTTTTGACCAAAGGCAAAATTAGGCAAAACTTCCTTCAACTTTTGACAAATTATTTTCTTTTGCTCAGAGCTGTAATCACGTGTTAGTTTCTTCACTTGTTTGGATGCTCTGCCACCAAAGCTGCTGTGAGTCAGCGTGTGAAATCCCCTGTTTCACCCTCTCAGCCAGATGTCCCTGTTGGCAACGGAGAGGTTTGACTGCGAGTCCCAGCTCTGAACTGAGGGCTGCTTGAGTGTGCGAGGGGGAGAAGGAAGGTACCAGCCCTCCTCACCCACAGGAGGTGAGATGCCTCCTGCCTGCCCTACAGAGGACTATGGCAGATGATTTGGGTTTGGGATTTCCACTTCTGGAGCAAATACTTAGAATGGGGTGTGTTCCTGCCGTGGAGGTGAGTGTGATCCTTCTGACCGACACAGCCTGCCCTTCTCACCAAGCAGTCCAGGCCAGAGCACAACTGGACAGAAGTTGTCATCATTTTATTTTTAATCATGGTCTTTCCCCTAACATGCTGGGATCTGCTGAAAAGATCCCATCTGCCTAAGTCACCTGCAGGTGTGGGTTATGCAAAGAATACCTTTGTTGGTGTTTTTGTTGTTGTCTTTTTATTTATTTATTTATTTATTAAGGACAGTCTAAATTTCTGCAAATGGTGCTGGCTTTATTTGGAAGCAACACACAGAAACCATAGACAGAAATGCAAAGGGTTGCTCCAATGTGCTTTTACTCTACACCCTTAAGTGGTGTCTTGCTGCTCCCCTTGTCACGTCTGTGACTGGCAGCATCTGCCAGCAAGAGCCCTGGGCTATGGCGTTACTCCCCCCTGTGGCCCACAGCCACGTGGTGTTACCCAGAACAGGAATAATCTGGGAATGTGATTTTTAAGCTGTTTTGTCTGCAGATCATTGTCTATGGTGATGCTCCATGTCAGGGCATGGTGTCATGCGTTGATGTTAGCAGCACCGCGGTGCACTTGCTCGGTGATGAGGATGCAGGTTACTCGGTTCTGGTTTTGGACTGTCGTATTTCATGGCTTGCTGTCAAAGAAATCAATGCTTTTGGGAACACAGGGCTTGCCTGTTTGCTAGTTGCCTGTGTGCATTTGGAAATCTGTTTCTAGGTGCTGATTAGGACCCTGAAGGGACCGATACACAAGGTGGCTGCCATGTGTGCAGCCCTTGTTGACCTTGCACTGATATACAGTGGGTTGGGGAGTTCTCGCAAAGGTATTTGATATTGTGGCGTCTGCAATAATTCCTCAGTGTTTGGAGGCTGTGGATTACATGAGAATTTTGAATGATAAAAATAAAATACAAAGGAGAAAATTCTAGTCCTTGTGATTAGAAAATCGGACCCTTTGAAACATGAACGAGCTATTTTCTGAGGGTTCAAACATGCAAGGGAATATGAGGGAATGTGAACTCCAGTTTGTCTTAGAAAACATGAGATTTGAAAAATAATCAGTATCATGAGTTTGGATCCTTAGATAATTTGGAATTCAGGCCAAATCCCTCTGCATTATCAACACCAAATGTGTGATGCGATTTGCATGAAGGAGAAAAGCTTTTACTCCTAAATTGCGAGCATATCAGTTATCACTGAATATCAGTTGCCAATAGATACCGGAATGAAACATCAAGTTAAACTTTTCCTTCAATTAATCTGTTGAAAAAGAAAAATCATAAAGTTTCCATCAGAAGTCACTTCCAGTTGGCTGAAGACTTTCCTTTTCAACTACAAAGAGCCCAGTTTTGGATCTCACTGCATCCCGCTGTGGGTTGACAAGTTCCTTCGGCGTCAGCCAGGAAAACATGTAAGGGATTTCTTTCCCTCTTCTGTTTGTAGGGGAGAGTAGAAAAGGGTCGAATATCTAAGTGTGTTATTAGAACTGCAGAAAAAGTAGAGAGCATTTAGGTCATTACACCTGAACATCAATATGCAACATCACTGGTGTTTTGTCAAAGTGATTTTCATAATTTTTCTAACTACCTTAAGAAAAACGAAAGTAAGTGTTATTCTATATAGAGTATTTGTTCAGTTTTCAAGTTCTGAAGTCTAAATATCTTCTGTTCATACCAAGTCTTCTGTGGAGCTGTGAGTGAATGATTGTAGCTCAGGAGCAGTTGTGCTATGGGGAGAGCAACACACCGCACCAGCGAGCACAGGTTGCTTGAGAGTTGCTTAGATGTGTATGGGGTTTTTTGCCTATGGGGAAGCAGAAAAGCAGAGAGTAATCTCTCTCATATTTTAAACTCAAAGGCGCCTAAGACTAGCTTAATGTTTAAAAAAAAAAACCCACCCAAAACACAATCAAACAAAAAAACCCTCTGCAGCTGGTTCCACTCCCTAACTTTCCAGTAGTGAGTGGCTTCATTTTTACATGAAAAAGCAGTTGGACGTTGCCAATGAATTGCATTTAATTTTCCTAAAACCTGCAAATAAATGGCATGTGAGCGAGAAGCCTTTGGTACAGAGGCAACCCCATATCAGTCTCTTAGAAAACTTTACATATATATGTTATTCTTGGAAGCTTTGAGACTTCAATAGCCGTGTATTCACAGTGAATTTTATTTGAATTGTAAGGTTCTCTGTGTGTCTGTATACACAGATGTATGCATGTATATACATACACAGGTACACACACACATCTTGAAACATGATGCTTGTTAATAAATATTTTCTGTATGATGGACATATGTAATGGTAGGTGTATGTGTGATGGCAATCTTGCATGTTAGTGTTGAGATAAATGGTTTACTTCTTAAAAAGTCCTTTTTCTTTAGTGGGAAGCAAATTAACTTGTCTATCTACATGCAAAATTTGATATACTATATGCATTATTTACCATTTACCAGCAGAGCTGGCCTGCTCCATGCCCAATTAACTGCTGTAAGAATGATGTATGATTGGGCT